GTCATTACTCAATTATTACAACAATATTACATCGAGAAAAATGAGGGAATCATTACATAGTTTTTATGCAATAGATAACAATTTAGTGTAGAAATTTTATTATAAATAAGCTGAGTTTTTCATCATGTATCGATAGAAATTTAGAAAGCTAATTTTATAAGATAATAAAAACTCTTTGCTAAATTGTCTCGTAACAAACAAACTGCTTTATGTCAATTCTGGTTAAGTAATATTGAATTGCTTAACGTTATTGCTTTATGTTAACCTTAGTTAAGTAATATTAAATTGCTTAACATTATTGCTTTATGTCAACCCTGGTTAAGTAATTGTAAATAACTTAACGTTATAAACCCTGCTTTATGGAAAACCTAGGTTTAAGTAATCTTTAAATTACTTAAACGATATTTACTTGGTTACAAATAATACTTTGTAACGTCATCTGAAAATTTCCTACGTCAAAGGAAATTACTTGTCTTACGTGAAGAATTGGAAGTCGTCATACTGCCAATTCTGAAACTTAATCGTGAAAGAATACCGAAGTCAACAGAAACCTGAATTTACTGAAGTCTCTCCCAAAACTTACTAAAGATTGAGTTAAATCTTGCTGCTATTCAATTGATTATGTGTTTCAGTCCGCCTAATCATTAGTTGGGTAACAATACTAATGAAGCAATGTTGTATCTAAAAAATTTTCATTTATTTTTAAGATCTTTTGCAAAATAGAAGATCACATGTGATGCATCTTTGTTTGAGTTCACAATCTCTATTTTAATTATAATCACAAAAAATCAGAATATTTATTCATCATAAATCGAGATCAATAGATGATAATCATCTATGCTAGATTATGTACTACTAATTCCTATAGCTTTATCCTAAAAATAGATTAATATATGATTAGCCTATACATATAATTTGAAAGTGCTAACATCAATAGGATAATAAAAATATACCATTTATCTAAAGATCTATAAATCATAGATTCTAATTGCTTTATTTTTATTTTTGAATTTTATTTAAATAACACACTGTCTTACAATTCCTTTTTTTGCTTACTAGGTTCTAAAAAAGAAAAGTACTTAATACTTTATACAACAGCTATACATTCTTGTATAATTATAGAATATTTTTGTTCAGGAGGTTTGAAAGTTTGACTTACATATGTGATGACTTGTTTTTTTTTTTGATCATCTTTTTGAGATAAAATTACCTATATCTTTTGAAACTTTTGGAATTTTCAAGTAAAAATGCATGATACACTCTTAGGCAGTTTATTAATAGATCATAAAAAAATGCATATAATGTACTTATTGCATATAATATATAATGATACATTTGCTAATGACTGTGATTTAATTTTGTATAAGCCACCCGATCATGGTTTAATTGAAATAAAAATTGCTTTCCAGAAAGATGCTATCAGTATGTTGCTTAGTTGTTACAACTTCATATGCAAAAGGATTATCATTTGAAGTTGAAGAAAAAGATACTATTGATGTTCTTAAAGAGAAAATTAGGGCAAATAGAGGTTACTTATTTTCTAAACAAAATAAGTTCACGTTATAGAAAATAAATCTTCCTAAAGAGAATTATAAAAGTGAATAGAGACTGTTAGAAGTTATATACTATTTGTTTTAAACATTAAAAAAAATGCTAGGCAGTGAAGAATTAAGAGAATTAAGCAGTTATAAAGAGAAAATAAAACAAAAATTTTCATAATAGGTTAAACAGAAACTTTTTTCATATTGCAGTTCAGATTTAGCTAGTGCCTAACAATTATATTCATATATTTGTTGATGATTCCAATTTATTTATCTAAGGCAAATATGCAGTTGGAACAAAAGAACAATTAGGTTGCCTTTCAGAAAAGGAATATCGGCAGTTAAATGAGTTTTGTATAGACCATAATTTATTATTTAAAGTAGTTCTTAATGGACATCTAAGGGAGAATAAACTACAGTTAGAACTCAATATAACGATTCTTGATATAATAATGCTTAATAAAATCTTGTTAAAACGATTTTTTTAAAAAATTTGACTTTATATTTGAACATATAAAAATTGTTATAAATTTTGAAATTGCTTTTTTTTAAAAAATTTTCATAGTAAACCAGAAGGTTCATTATATTGAGTTATGACTGTAGTTCTTGTAGATTCTCATCTTTCAAGTAATGAAGAATTGTAAGATTTTATCAGAGAGAAAGACTATGATATTAATATACTTGACAGAAATACCAAAAATTATGAAAAAGAAGTAGATCTTACATTAGGAGTAGTTATTAATAATACTGAAAAGTTAAAGTATGGTTCTGAAAATAAGGTATAGATAAACATGCTATACCAAAGTTAATTGATCACTTTAACCAATATTACATATCATTTATAGGTATTTCCTGTAATCTAAGATATATCTCTTTTGTCTATTATGAAAAAAATATGGTGGAATTCTATCTACTAGATGATTATTATAAATTCTTTTTATATAGTAATGGGATTCCTGATTTTAAATCTAATTTGATGTTCCTTACCTTTTATAGCAAGACTATAGATGAATAAAATAATAAAGATATTTTAAAATATTTTAAAACTTTAGAATTATTTGGATGGTTGAGATAGGAAGATAATATAACAGTACACCTATATTTTAAAAAGAAATACTCGATCATGTAAGAAAATAGATTGAAGAGAATTGGGTTAATTCAGATCTAAAAATAAAGATATGGGATAATGTGTAATTTTTGTATAATATATTTTTTCCTTAAAATAAATTAACCAATTGTGATGTATATAATTCACGTGATTTTGGGCGAACAATATTTGCTGACATTTAACCAAAAAAAATTTTATTAATATATGTAATAATAAATAGATTGAGAACTGTGCTTTTGATACATATTATTATTTTTTGATAAATTTTTAATCCTAGCTCTCTTGTTAGACAGAGAACCTTACCTTCAAAAAAGCATAGAATTGCTTGTATGAAATTTGCAAAAAAATATTGATTATAGACAGCAAAGAATTGATGATTTATAAATTAGATATTAAATATTATTAGAAAAACAAAATGAATTATTATACAGTCATCATATTAAACTAACAGTTAAATTTAGGTGGAATAATATTATGATGTGAGAGTTACTTCTAGAAGGATTAGTAAAATATACTGAATTTATAAATATTAAATAGTAATTTACATCATCAAATTTTGAAGAAAGACCCTTTAAAAACTATTGAGTAGTATGGAATAGATAAAGATAATATTATCTTTCAATAAGATAATAACTCTAAATATATTGCAAATCTTACTAAGCAATAGTTTAAGGATAAAAAATTAAAGTTCTTGATTGGCTAGCATAGTCCTCTAACTTAAATTTAATAAAACACCTTTAGATTATTATTTGAGGTAACTTGAAACACCTGTTAAAATACAGGATTACTTGTGAGATGCAATTCAAAAAATTTGAATTGAATTAAGATTTGATATATGTAAAAAGTTAGTTGATACTATGCTAACTCATATAAATGATGTAATAAAATCTAATATGGATTATACAAAATGGTAAATAATAATTTATTAAAATTTTAATGTAAAAAATTGTTTTTTAAAATTTTTTTTATTTAAAAATTTTTAATAAAATATTGGTTAAAAGAAAAGCATTGCATAATTTGCATTAAGTAAATATTTTTTAAAGTTTGATTTTATTATTATATAATAAATTTAATATTACTAAATAGATTTATTATGAAGAGTCTAAAAAATAAATTTCATAATACTGTGTCTTTTAATTTATGAGATATTGCAATTTTAAAATTTATAATTGCAAAAAATAATCCAATTGTGCTTATTATTATAATTCAATGATTAGAAAAATATAGTAAAACAATCTATATTAAATATTATCATAATTAAAATAAGTTTTAATTTGAAGTATAGATAATATAAGTGATAATGTATATTAAAAAATAAAATTTTGTCTTAAAAAATTAGTGATAAGAATATAAATATAATTTGTATAGTAACAGATTCTACTGGTTCATATATTGCTACAAAATTTGTATTTATTTAAAAAATTTTATTAATTTCTTATTATATAAAACAAAGTGCAAAATGAAAATCTTGATAAAGTTTTTATTATACTTTACTCATCAAATAAATTTATTTATGTGTAGATAATATATTTAAAGAATTTAAAAGATATAAGAAAGTTTTAATTTAGGCAATTATAATTATATATTTTTTTTAACTTATCAACATACTTTTTGAAAAAATTAAAACAATAATAAATTGAGTTAAATATTTATTTATATACATGTAAAACTAGATAGAATAGTCATTATTCTTATATAGCAAGTATTTTGAAAACAGAAACTACATTAAAGATAAATAAAAATTATTAAATAATTTAAAATTTTATTTTATATTTATAACAAAAAATTAAATATCGGGTCATAAAAAATATATTGATTTGTTTTATTTTTCTGAAATAACAAATGTTATAAATAATCAAAATTTTAGTTTGATATTTAAAATATTTATAAAATCAAATTTTAAATATTTAAACTAAAAACAAAAGAACAAGTTTTATTAAATATTATTACTTCTCAAATTAAATAAAATTATATTATATTTGATTTTTTTTTAGTTTTTTTTAAAAAAAATATTATTAATTTGCAATATTAGATTTTAAACCAACATTATCATATAAATAGTATCACTCTATTATGTTTTGATGTAATTACATTCTATTTGACTAAATAATATTTTTATAAATAGTAGAAAGTATTGATAAATAATTACGCATTATCATAGATAATATTAAATAACTATTTTTGTGGTTTTTCTATTATTCTAAAGCATTTATAGTTTTTAGCTTTAATAAACTATCAAAATAATTAAATGTTTATCATGACCATTATTATTTAGAAATAAAATAAGAAATTTTATTATTATTATCTTTATTATCATTAGAAATAATAGGTATTGAAGTTGAAAAGTGAATAGAATAATATTCATTAAATTTACTTATAAATCTAATTTTAATAATAATAAATTTTAAAATTTATAGTAAAAATAAATTAGTAATTTACAAATTCTTTGCTTTTCTATAAAATATATCATTAATATTTTTATTCAGCTCTATAAATATTCAAGTTTTCATCATGGATAATTATAAAAATTTAATATATTAATTTAAAAGTTTATTGTAATATTAACGTATGATTTTTACAAATCACAATGGTAAATAAAGTATTTGAATGGTTGCTTTTTATTGGTAGCTTATTGGATCTATTAAAATAATTGTAATAATTTATATATTTTAATTAAAAAAATATTTTATAAATCTTAAATTATGTAATAATTAATCATTATATTTTCTAATTTTACGTATGTAAAATAAGTTTATTAAAGATAAGATATATATAAAAATAATAAAAATAAAAGAATAATGAAAAGATTAATAAGCACATTAGTACTGGGCTAGAGAAAATCTAACTTCCTATTATTTCAACATTTATAAACCATCTTATTTATATAAAATAATTTACATAGAAAGATAAAACTAATATAATATATATAATATGTTTGCTAATATATCAATTATGTCAGTAACTGACATATCAGAAATGTCAGAAATACCTACTATATCAGACATATTAAATATATAAATTGTATAAATTTGTTTATTATATATGTAAATCATTTGCAGATCATCTAGTAGATTATTAATTCTGTAAATCATTTTGTAAATCTCTAGTAGATCAATTTTGTGAAACATGTTGATCATTTGTTATGTTACATTTTCTTATTATAATAATTCTGTAACAATAATATTACTAAGCTTATTTTATATTATAATTAAAGTTCTTAAAGATTTTTTATTATTCATTATTTTTTCAGTATAGTCTATTAATGATTATATATAGGATGATTAGTATTGCTATTCAAAAAAAATCTGTAGTTTAAACATGTTAAAACTAATTTAGTTAATAACTATATTACTAAAAATATTTTGTTTAACTAAAACTAATTTTTAGTATTTTAGAATAGCAATCTTACATTTTTAAAATTTGAATTAATTAAAATATTAATATTTTTAAATCTAAAATTTATTTAATTATTTTATATGTAGAATTCCAATAATTTTTTTAAGATTTTATCATAGTTGAAAGAAGAACAACATTTTAATAATAAATTTTATTTTTCAAAATATAATATTAAAATAATTTGATTTTATTTTAATTTTATTAATTAAAAAAGAAAGCTATTATTAATAATAGTTTATATTTTAATTTTAATTTTTTGTATTTTTTTTTAGTTTTTTGATTTCACTATTTTAAATTACTAAAAATTAGTTTCGCTTAAATAAAATTAGTTTCAATAGTTTCAGTTATTAATTAAACTAGTTTTGATAGTTTAAACTATGAAAATTTAGTTTTAAATAGCAATACTGCAATACTAGTTATAAAGTAATGATGTGATCTGATAAGTAATAAAATTATATATAATATTTAAAATATTACAGTGAGACCTTTCTAAATACACCTTTTCTAAATATATGTATATATATTTTTTTAAAAATACATATTCTACACAATCCGAAGTATATAAGGATTATATAAAATTTCTTCTTTTAAATATACATCTTTTTTAAATACTCATTTTTTTTTCAAATTTTCACTATGGTTCCAAAGTGATACATTTAGAGAGTTTTTATTTTGTTATTATAAGAATTCTAAATATAACTAGTTGTATAGAAATTATTTATTATATTAATATAAATTTATAAATTTAAATAATTATTTTAAAAAAAATATATTTTAATAAATTTAATATTTTTAAATTATGATGCCAAATTTTATTTTTAAAAGCTAATTTAGTTAAAAATATAAATTTTCTTAATTTTTAGCATATCTAATAAAAATAAACAGAAAAATAATATTGAGGATTTCTAATTAGTAAAAATATGGTAAAATTATATAATTAAATATAGAACGTTACACATTATTTTGTAGTTTATAAAAATAGTTATTTTTTCAGCCCATTTTAATAGTTTTTCAATGGAAAAGGAAGAAATGTGTAATTCTAGTGTAAATGTGAAACTTACATTTGTTACATGATTATCATTTTATAACCGAAGAACTATTTCTTTTCTGTTTGTTGTTTCGACTAATAAAACATCATATTGTATTTTAATGTAAGAAAATATCATAAATGTTTGGTTCAATTTTAATATACTTACCGATTTTTTTCGCGCGCTCCTTTTTTTTAATATTTTTAAACCTTTCGAAATTATAGATCTAAACAAATCTTTCACACTCGTTTACATCACTATTTTCAAGTTAACAAAGGTAGAATGAGCTCTATTAATGGTAGTAGTAACGCCGATACATCACAGCCTACAG